GAGATGACAGACAAAAGCTGGGAAAGGAAAGAAGCACTCACGGTAACCCAGCAGGTTAGTGGCAATGCTGGGAACAGAATCGAGGTCTTCTTACTCCCAATCCATTGCCCTATTCACTAGATTATGCTGTCTCACTATCAAATATATCTTTGCAATTTTCCATTATTATAGTTGGCAATTTTCACCCTTCATCATGGATCTCAAAGTGCTCTTCATCAACAATTAGAATCCCCACTTTGCAGACGGGTTAGGTGAAGCACAGTGAGGTTAAAGTCTGTTGTAGTAACTACACCTTTCCTTGAGTCCTCTGGTTTTACAATCACACTTCGAATAGATTTTTTTCTTCTCCTCTATTGCTGAATTGGGGTTTTTCACCTTTCTCCACTTCATGATGTGGGTGCCAGTCGCTAGCTAGGATAGGGCTCACATCTCACTTAATCATTTCCCTATTATTCCAGGGGCCTCAGGTATTAGTGCACCTTGGTACCTTCTATTTTTTCCCTATAGCACACAATAGTTTAGTCTCCTATGGGGTGTATTACTTTAGTCAAATGTCAGTTGTTGGGTTTCATGCGGGGGTACTGGCCTGTGGTATATAAGAGATCAGAGTGGATGATCAAGTGGTCCCTTCTGGCTTTGAACTCTAGGACGGTAAGGTCTGAGGTCATGCTAAATCTTACCTAAGCCTCTGAGCTAACAGCCCTGCTTTCAAAGTAATCACATTCTCTTCCTAGGTGGATACTGCCCCAGGGCACCTATTCCAAAACCTAACACATACTCCCAGTGCCTTATGAAAGTCCTCCCTACTTTTGAAGATCCTCAGGGCTCAACATATCTGGTTGCTACTTTGCAGGATTTTGGCTTGCTGCTCGCTCCAGATACATTGGCACTCTGGAGTTTCCTTCTTTAATTATACCTCAGAGTGCAAAGCATACCTCTACAACTCCAGAACATGCAAAATTTGAATGGAGGAGTCTTAAACCAACCCACAGCCTGAGACCCATGTGAGGGGCTACCAGACTTATTGAGGCTCAGGAATTCCCAAGAGAGGAAGGGAAATTAGAACATCAGGAAAGAATTTGGGGTAGGGAGTAGCAAGAATAGAGAAGAGACTTAGATCAAATAGGAATAGCCATGGAAGCACAGTCATGGGGTTCACATACTGCTAGTGGCACCTCCTGCTGGCCATCCCAGAAATTATCTCCAGCATCCCTTGGCAGGGTCTCTTCCATTATCCTCTTGCCCTGCAAACTCCAAGAACTGCAGCTTCCTCTTCATGACTCAGTCCTCTGGCCAAGTCACCATACAGATCTCCCCCACCCCCTTCCTGAGCCCATTTGTCAAGAGGAACTTTGTTACCTCAGGAAGTCTTCCTATTCACTGCCCCACCAGGACCACTTCATCAGCAGCTGGCAGGGGGGGTCCCAGGTCAGGGGCCCTCTCATCAGCAGAGAAAGTTTGATCTACCCCATACCTTGCTATTTTTCCCCCAAGCCTTGCCTACCTCTCTACCTTCTCTGGGCTTACTAAGCCACAGAGTTACTAGGCTACTTGCCCTAGACACACCTCCTCTCACCCAGGAAGCAACTAAAGACTCCTTCCTTCCAGCCCCTTCTGTTGCTAGCTTCCTGGCTTATATAGTCCCCATCTGTGTCTGCCCAGCTGAGCCTCATGTCTAGATTAATCAATTCCTGCTCCCTGTCTCCTCCTCCAGGTGCTGCCTAGAGGTTAATTGGGCCTAATTTAACCTCTCAGGGCCAGTGTAGGTAGTACACCCATCATAATCATTATCAATGGAGAGTAACAATGGAAAAGGGGTTTAGGTATTAATAACCATAGGGCAAGAGCTAGATTCAGGTGGAAGTTTGCATTTAGTATCAAGAAATGATCAGGCACAGTTGGGTGACAGAAGTAGTAGGAAGAGAATTGAGGTAGAAAAAGCAAGTTGTGGTAGAGTTGGTGATAGAGACTTACATGTTCCTGAACCTTTAAACAGCCTTAGGACTTGTTTTCACTGCAGAGTCAACTTAGGTGCTGTCCTTAACCCAGCTCCTGTCCACACAAAAAAATCTCTCACCTGAGTGCCATGGTGCTTTACAGCTGGGCTACTTGCCTCATCCTGGGTATCAGATAAAGCCCAAATGCTGCTTACCTAGGGGATAGTAACATGCCCACTTTGCAATGAAATTGGATACTAAACATGAGTACAGATAGTTTTTCAGTGCCTTCCCACAGTTCCCCCTGTGCCGAGAAAGGCAGAAGAGTTCTCCCACGATACAGTGGCTCAGCTTACTGAATGGCTAAGAAACCTGGGATATAACCCTGGAAGTCCTAGCACCCCACAAGTGAAGAAGCACCAGTGTGGATACACTACAGTGGATACGCTCAAGTATGGCTTTGCAGTAAGGCTGCTCATATCTGAGCTAGGGCATCCTGGATGATCACTTCAGGCTGACCATCTGAGTTAACTCCGCAGTGAAGACATACCCTTAGATATGTCTCTTGGGCTGGTAATGATGTCATTTATCAAGAACTGGTTTTCAGAATATAGCGTTATATTCCTTATCCCTTTACAGTACTGTTGTCTATATGTGGAAGGATGTTCTATTGCATCACCAACCCTTTTTTTATTGATATAAGTGCTAAACATTTTTGAACCCATTCCCCATTAACTTATAAATTTTCATTTATGGTCAATACCTTGCATGTTATGTTTGTCAAAGAAAGACACACACATATCTGGAAACAAATTAGTGAAGAAAAAAGTGGAGTCCACTGAGAAATGATTAGTGAACAATTTTTCCATTCCTCGTAGTTTAAAAAAAACATCAACAGCAAGAGAGCTAGGTTTTGCAGGAGATTGATTGCTATATACTTCAGTAGGGAGATTATTTCTGATTAAATATACTTTAAACATTCAAAATGTAGAATGCTGTGAAAGAGAGCTGACTTGTGTAATTATCACTAAAGTAATCAATAAGGAGGGCTAATTGCTGGAGGAGATTTAATGTCATATTCAATTAATGTGGATTTATGAATATCAGCAACATGACAGCCCCTTCTGGGCCCAATCCTGCTTCTTCTGAAGTCAATGAGAGTTCTGCTATTGATTTCAGTGGAACCAGGATTGGGCCCATTGTTTGCTAAAGAGTGAATCATTATTTGTGAAATTTCTAGAGGAGGTAAACCCATGGCGGTCTTGGAACTGAGGACAGAGGTAAATAGTGTGTTGTAATATGATTAGCAAATGATAATGCAAACTACAGAAAAACATACAGGGAAGAGAAAAATTTCCTGGCAAGTGAAATTTTAGAGACAGGGAACAGATAATTCAATGGGGGAGTAGAGAGTGGATTTTCCCGATTAAAGTTAATGACAGATATGGGGGCAGGTTGGCCAGTAATGGAATGCAACAAAATTACAGAAAAAAATAAGTGAATTGGGTGCATAGAATATTTTAATATAGATTGTATAACTTTGTTTTATTGTTGCTAATTTACATTTAATTAGGGAGACAGCATATTTAGTGTTTAGAGCAGAGAACTGGGATCAAGATACTACCCACTTGCTATGTGACCCTTTGAAAGCACTAAAACTCTCATGTCTGTTTTCTGTAGGAATGGGAATATTAATGCCTGTTTCTGTAATGTTCTTTAGGGTCTCTGATAAAAAATAATACTTTGAATTTATATAGTGCTTTTAATATTCAGCTAGCTTTACAAACACCAATGAATCCTCACAACTCCCCTGGGAGGCAGATACATTGGTTTATGTATCCCCATTTTACAGATAAACCAAGGCTAGGTTAAATGACTTGTTCAAGGTCACAAGGGAGCTATCATTGGCTGGCAGCAAATATGAGGATTTGCTTCAGGAAAACACTTTGGCACACACTTAACTTAAAGCATGTGAGTAATGCCATTGAAGACAACATTACTATTCATATACTTATTAAGAGCTACCATTAGAACTCATTAGGTCCTCATACGCAGTTCTGGGCTCAGACCACTAGCCTATCCTTCTCTAAGACTAAGCCTCTTGGTGTAATTGGTGATGGTATAATGCAATATTCAATATTCTTAGGTACTCTTCAAAGACATTACATATTTATTATATACATTTCAAAAGCATCTGTTGCCACAGCATCCAGTGCTCCAACATAAAATATCTAATATTTATACTATCATATGCTTTAAAATATAGTTGATGTGTGTGGATTTTTATTTTTCAGTGTTACTATGAAATAATATTTTCAAAATAATTAATATGTCAAGGACTACAAAGACAATCCTCCAACTCATCCCTAGCAGGGTATTATGAGGTGTGGCATAATTAGATCTAAAATTTTAATTCTGACTAACATTTTATATTGCAATAGCATCGCCATTTCAGTCAGGCTGGGTCCTCATTGTGCTAGGCATTGTACAAACACATAGTCAGTGGCAATCCTTGACCCAAAGAACTTATAACTGAAACGAATTATGTTTATATGGCAGGTATTTGAAATGTTTTATCCTGGATGATAAAGAAATGAGAGGGTTGATTTTATTCATGTGACAGGATTTTTATGTGCAATTCTAGGTGTCTGTTTTTCTGTGCTGGTGTTGAGCACACTTTCTTTTATTATTATTGCAATGTATAAAGATGTACACTATAAACTTCTGATGCATGGTTTTGGAGTTGGGTTTAGCATGTCTGTGCATGTGTACTCTAGGATGTGGCTGCACGCCTGGTGATGATACCATGTACGTTTACTATTATGCACGGTTCTTTGCACTGAAATAAATAATGAATTGAATCAAATCCACATCCCTTGCTGGCTGTTTGTTTTCGGTCGTGGGATCATCTCGCGCTGTTTGTTTAAGGCTTTTGTATTTGTAATGGGAAAAGGAAGGCGCTAGGACCGGGCTGGCTCCTGGTATCAGCCGGGAGGGAACTGGAGGAGAGAAGGGGGGTGCACAGTGACTTATGCAGAGAAGGCGCTGCTGCCATTTCCACTCACACTCCGCACTCACTACTCAGAGGGAGGGAGGCAGGGAGGGAGGGAGGTTACACAGGCTGACTGAACTGAGGAGCTCAGCTGCCAACACTCAACACTGCCTGCTGCTGCTGCTGCTGCTGTACTCTGGGCAAGGGGAGGGAGGGAGAAAGAAAAGGAGAAGAAGAAAATAAAGAAGGAGAGAGAGCAGATAAGTAGAGGGGGGAAATCTGAGAAAGAAGGAAAAGCAAAGGACACCTCCCTCCCTACAGAGAGAAGACTTCCCATGTAGCAGGGGAACGAGGGAGAAGCCTGAAGCTCAGCAACTGAGAGAGAAACAAGTTACTTAATCCCTGGAGAGAGGAGGGACATTAATAATAACAACAGTTGCTGATGATAATAATCATACATAACCGCTAATAATTTAAACCCAAAGAAAGTTCAATGCAATATTCGAAGCTATTTCTGGTTGCCTCTTCGGGGTAACTTTGGAAGGCGCGCTGCTGCTGTTGTCGCCTGGAGGTGAGAGAGGAGCCTCGGAAGAAGGAAGAAGTTTCGTGGGGCTTGTTTGCACAGGAGGAGAAGATGGGCTGGAAGAGTCGCTGCTGCTGGGGAGGCGGAGGAGGAGGGGACCGTCTCTGCCTGCTCACCCTCTTGCTGGGGTTCCTGCTACCCGCCTGCAGGACTCGAATGTACACCAACCACTGGGCTGTGAGGATAACTGGGGGGCACCAGGAAGCCAGCAGGATAGCTAGCAAATACGGATACGTCAATATAGGACAGGTAACCCTCCTTCAAACTACATGCACTACTTTCTAGCAGATGGTAACGTTGCAGATGCCGCAGGCAGGACCTTCTCCCAGGTCTGCTGCTGCTCAGTCTGGGCTGGCACAAAGTTAAGCAAGGGAGCGCAGGGCAATGGAAGGGGCAGCTCGAAGTTTGCCCTTAGGTCTAGATGCCTCGGAGCCGTTCCCCGAGTGCAGCGTGTGTGGAGAGTCCTGTTCGAGTCAGCAGGGATCTGTTTGTGGCTGAATCCTGCCGGTGGATTGTAGTTGCAGAGGACTGTTTCTCCCCTTGGGTTAGTTTTGCGTGGCTGCGTGCAGGGTTTATTTTAGGCCAGGTGTAACACGTATGTTTTAATTGTATGTGTGTGTCCCGGGTGCCAGTGCTCTGGGGGGATGACGGGAGTGTGCAATGCACAACAACAGCAGGAGACAGAAGTTTCTCCCTGCAGACACTTTTGGGGAGGGATTGTGCGAGTGAGGGCGGGGGATGTTCTCTGTGCAGCGCCGTGGGCATTTCTCAGACAGCTTCTCACGAGGTGGGAGCGTGCAAAACACCCAGCCAGGAGACGTTTGAAACTTCCTGCGTTCAGACAGTGGCTCTAGCAGCAGGAGTGAGAGGGGAGGGGAAGACAAACACCCAGCTTCCCCTCCTCCCTCCCCCCCCCCGTCTCCCCCGATTCCCCGTCTTTGTCCTAGGGCTTGGGAGGGTTGGGGGAAGATTACTGTCTCGGAGTGATTCAACCAGGTAAAGGAACGGGGGCTGGGGTTTTAAAATGCAGTGAGAATCGGTGCTTAGAAAAGGTGCCCCGGTTGTTATTTGTGATGGTTATGAATGTAAAATAAAGATCAGTTCATGGCGGGGGGTGGGGGAGATGACTGATGATAACGTGGACACAGCGTTAAAGCCAAAATACGCGCTGGTTCAGCCAGGTAAATTTCCGGCTAAACTTGGAATCCTGCCCGCCGCCGCAAGCTGTACTGGGGGGGGGGGGGGGAGTTCAGGGGAACACGTTTGTCACGGAAATTAAATGCATCTAAGAAATTACCCTTGCCCCTGCTGACGCTGGGTGGAAGTGGCTCTACTGCGGATCGGAGCCGTCTGCCGCTAGGGTCGTGTTTGTGAAGGGGGAGGGGGTAGGAGATAGCTTGGGGGCAAGGAGTATCCGCTCTGTCCAAGCTATCAGAGCATCTAGCCCTCCCACAGCTTTCCCCACCTCCAAGCGTCTCATTCCATTTGTGCCGTTTCAGAGCATGAACTTTGAGCTCAGTCCCTGAAAATCAGCTCTCCCCTGAACAAGCAGACTAGGACTAGGAGAACACAGCTGCTGCTATTGCCAAGGTGGGAGTGGGGGAGTTTCTAGCCCCCATTTTGGACACCTTCCGGAGCGACAGGTTACGAGGAAGGAGGAGGAGGTGGCGAAAGGGTCGCCCTTTGTGCCCCTAGATGCCTGCATGTCGTCTTGCTGCCGCTCCGATTTTAGCAGGCAGCTTGGAGAGAGAAAAATAAACCAGACTAGCCCTGTTAAAAATCCAGTTGTGCACGGGCAGGGGGAAATATTGAGGCTGAGAAGAGGAAATGTGCCGTGTCTGCACAGAGGGCATTCGAGGGCTGATGTACGGAATCTGACTGGGCTTGTGCTCAGAGATCTAGACTTTACATATCTCGGTAAAGGGCAGCATGCCTGTCAACGCCCGGGAAACACTGATTTCCTAAATTGTACATATGTACAATAAAATTACTTCCTCCTTTCTTCAGTTCATAATAAAACTGGAAAGCGGGAGAAGTAAAATCTTGAATTCAAGCAAATTTAACACAAAATCATACAAATCTTCCTTGATCTATGCCTAGTCAGTTAGAAAACATGGGGACTCTGCTGAATCCACAAATGCTTAGTTAGAAAACACCTGGAACTGTCTGGATCCAAAAACAGACCATGAGAAAATTATTGGATCCAGACACTTGGAGTGAGGAAACATCTGGTTCTTGCTGGATCGAGTCACATTTAGGAAGTACTCTGTTGCTGCATCTAGGCACAGATACTACAGTGAGAAAAAAGAGTTAAGGTACCCTTTTTCTGATGTGCACCCTGCCATACTGTCTCACACATTTCTTGGGATTTAGCCTTATAAAGTGTGAGTTGTTATCCAATGCATGGCAAACTGAGTGCTTAAAAATAAACAATACTGTTTTGCAATTAGTTTTTCTGGGTGCACTTTTAATTATACCAATTAAAAGTTTAGAACACAAGATTTAACATATACAGAAGACCTCTTCATCTCATGCAGGAAATTCACAAAAATACAGCTGCACTTCAGATATTTTTCACCCCATCAGATCAAAGGACAGTAACACTCACCCAGTTGTTAGTATAATAAAATCAGTTCACACATACTGTATCATTGTACTGAAAGTTTCAAACGTACTTCTCAGTTGTTCTTTGTCCTTCATTTTATATCTTAATCTGGAATAGTGCACATTTATTATTGTTAATTATTTACCTCAAACAATGTGGGATCACAAACACTGAAATTATATAAAATATCAAATACAAATAGTTAAATCTCCAAAAGGGCTGAATCCCAGCTTCCCTTTTTGTTCCCACAGTCAGGTAGTTTGAGGCACAAATAATCCTATTTAGGGGCACAAAATTATGGAGGAAAATGTATATGTGCAAATTGCACCCACTCTTTGGAAAATTTGGCTCCAAATTGCCATTTATATAAAATAAGTGAATCCAAAATTATAGCTACCTGCCCTATTGTTTTTGTGTCCCTTATTCTGTGTCTTTTTTCTTTTTTGTATCTTCATATTTGGGACTCAGTAGTTTGAGCATTATCATATTGTTCAAGTACAGAAACAGGCAATATACTAAGATGTATGGAGAAGGATTCTCTTCTGCCCCTTGTCTTATTTGCCATGCCAGATGGCTCATTTAGGGCTTGACCCTGCATTCTTTGCGCACCCAAACCTTCCATTGGATAAATACGGAAAGCAGTAAGTAGCTTTTGTCTTCTTATATGTCAGTAAAGTGCCATGTATACACCCATGGTCTTATATTAATAATACATACATTGCTGATCAGGTGTGCAGATAGGGAGGGGACAAAATACAGAGCATATAAGTAATGGACAATTGGAAAATGCATAAATAGATCTAAAATTAAAGGAGTGCATAATGCTGATGCCCTTCATGTAAGTATTATTTAGGTATGCAGATGTGCAGTATGCAAATAAAAGGAAGAATATAGGAATATATTAACTGGGAAATGTGTTTTTGAGGGAACAAGTGAGCATTAGTGATGGCATGAACAAGTCTGGTAGTTGATTCCCAGGCTCATTCTGCTTGCTACCAAGCTTTAAACAGGAAAAAGCTGGCAGTGGACATATGCTAAAACATTCATGGAGATTACTACACATGTTTTGGCTACTGGATGTCATTTTTCTCATCAAATAGAGATCCCAGAGCATGGTTTATTACATATTTATGTGGTCTGAAGAGTGGTATGCATTTCATTTCCCAGAGTTTCATGGCTGTGTGAAGTTCACTTTAGGTCTGGCACTTTTAAGTTTCCGGTTACTCCTCGTGAAATGTTCTCCAAATGGCATTTTTTGCATCAGAGTGTTCATTAGTGTGTCCCTGGGCACTCATGTGAGGAGTCTGTTCTGTTCTATTCCATGCCCCACCCCTGCTCTGAAAATTTGGTACCATTTTCATCAGGTTGCCAAATTGTTGGGTCTTCAGGTGTATGACATTGATTCTACATCCCTTGTTACCTTGTGGATAGCACAGAATTATGCCATTCAGAGTGTACATAATACAATTCAAAAGAATTATGGCACCATTCTTGAAAAGTATAACAGAACGTATGTAATCTCTACATGTGAAACAAAGCATACAGGTTATCTTGCAGGTAGCATATGTAGATTTTATAGAGCACAGGTGAAAAGAGATTTGAGGGTTAAGTTTTAAGGACAATGATTAAGGAAAGGAAAACTGGGAAGTTCAAGGAGTGGGATTTGGCTGTCTTTTTATTAGGGAGATTTAGAAGTCACAGACAAGGGAGAAGTGATGGTTGCTAACATGGATTTGAAGAGTGAAGGAATCAATCTGACCAAAAAAAAAGGATGGAAAGTGAGGGAGAAAAATCTATGCCAAGAACAGCCAGGGATGAGAATCTACTATTTATTGTGGCGAACCAATGGGAAGTGGCTGAAAGAAATCTGATAGTTGTGGAGTACAGGGAATAGACAGAACAGGACAAGATAAATTCAAAAGGATTGTGAAAAGTATTGTGATTTGATATCTGGTGCACTATTAAGACACTTAAAGTAACCAGTTAGCAGAGTCCTTTTCCAGTGGCAGAACTTGCTGCGTGTGCAACCTATATATTATGGCAGCCAAGATGGTTAGGATTTTGGTTTTGTAGACAGTGTTACTGCCAGGTGACCTGAAAGGGAGCCTTCTTCTGATTGGGTCAGTAGGAGCTGTGCTATGCTTATTTTGGCTTGAAGTTGCTCATTGCAAATCTTATGGAAGAACAGATCCATAAACAATCTGAAATGGACAAGAAACCATTAAAGGGTTCTGAACATGGGATATTACCACCTCCAGAGAGAAGTAAAGGGACATGGAGCTGCATTTACCACCTCCAGAGAGAAGTAAAGGGACATGGAGCTGCGTTTTTGGGTAATTGAAGATTTGAGAGTTGGGCTTTACAAAGAATGTAGAAGGCAAAATCTTGGCTCTTTAAAATCAGTGTGAGTCTTGCAATTGACTTCAGCAGGCATTTTACCCAAAGGAACAAAAGAACTACAAGAGTCTAGATAAGACACAATAAGGTCATATATAAGAACTGATGTCTAATATGGACAGTGTTTCAGAGGTTTTTGTGGGTAAAAGATTTTGCAAACCAGGAAGATCCCAACGATATTGTCAATTGACTGAGTTGAACTGAGGGGAGCAGTAGAGATGCAGGGCTTTGCTTCGGGGTGCTTTTG